GAACCAGCACATGGGAGCACTTTCTCTCTCTCTCTGCCCTTCAAATCAATTTTAAACAATAAAATTTAAATAGGATTAAGTTATTCTTTTATCAGATGTAAACCCTCATAACTTTAGATTTGGCAATGAATTCTTATATGTCAAAAGCATAAGCAACAAAATGAATGCATTTGGGCCACTGCTTACAAAGCTGGCATCCCACATCAGAGCGGCGGCTTCAGTTCTAGCTCCTCCCCTTCCAACCCAGCTTCCTGCTAATGTGCCTGGGAAGGCAAAAGATGGCCCAGGTGCCTAAATCCAACACCTACATGGGAGACCAGGATGGAGCTCCTGGCTCCTGTGGCAGCCACTTGGGGAGTGAACTAGCAGATGGAAGATCAATCTCTCTCTCTCTCTCTCTGCACCCCCCCCCAATCGCTCTGCCTTACAAAAAATTTATTTTTAAAAAATTAAAAACTTTTGTACATCAAAGAACAGAAAGCAAAAAGTTACCTGAGCGAATACGAGAGTATTTACAATCATTAATGATTTGTTTAGTATGCAGAGCATATAAAGAATCCTCACAACATATAACACACAGTATAAGCCACTCAGTTTTAAATTGGGGGCCAACACTGTGGCATAGAAGGTTAGGCCTCCACCTGTGGCACCAGCATCCCATATGGGTGCCAGTCCCATATGGGACTTCCGATCCTGCTCCCTGCTGATGGCCTGGGAAGGCAGTAGAGGATGGCCTGGGTATTTGGGCCCCTGTACCCACATGGGAGACACAGGAAGCTCCTGGCTCCTGGCTTTGGATCAGCCCAGCTCTGGCCGTTGCAGCCATTTGGGGAGTGAACCAGTGAATGGAAGACCTCTCTCTCTCTGCCTCTGCCTCTCTGTAACTCTGTCTCTCAAATAAATAAATCTTTAAAAAAATATATGGGCAAAGAGGGGGCTGCCACCTATGATGCCAGTATCCCATAAAGGCACCAGTTCAAGGCTCGGCTGCTCCACACCTGATCCAGCTCCTTGCTAACGCACCTGGGGAAAGCAACGGAAGAGATGCAGTTCCAGGCTTCTGGCTCCATCTGCCCAGACCCAGCCATTACAGCCATCTGGGGAGTGGCCCAGTGGATGGAAGATCCATCTCTCTCTCTCTCTCTCTCTCTCTCTCTCTCCCCCCCCTGCCTCCCTCCCTCCCTCCCTTTCAAATAAATAAATCTATCTTTTTTAAAAAACAATGGTGAGGAGGGCACAGACCATCTGGCCTGGCTAAGATACCCATGCTCCGCACCAGGACGCCTGGGCTCAAGGCCTGGCTCTGCTCTTGACTCCAGCTTCCTGCCAGTGCAGATCCAACTTCAGTCTGGTGTGGTCCAGGCCCTGGCCATTGCAGGCACGTGGGGACATGGGGGCTCACTCTGTCTCTCTCTCTCTCACCTCTCCCTTTCTGTCTATCTCCCCACTGCCTCTCAAACAAACAAAATTACACAGAAAATATGGGTGAGAGGTGCGGTGCGACCACTGCTGGAGATGCTAACATCCTCTTTTTTTTTTTTTTTAGGTTTATTTATTTATTTGAAAGAGTTACAGAGAGAGAGAAGGAGAGGCAGAGAGAGAGAGGTTTTCCATCCACTGGTTCACTCCCCAGATGGCTGCAATGGCCAGAGCTGGGCTGATCCAAAGCCAGGAGCCAGAAGCTTCTTCCAGGTCTCCCACATGGGTGCAGGGGCCCAAGGACTTGGGCCATCTTCCACTGCTTTCCCAGGCCACAGCAGAGAGCTGGATCAGAAGTGGAGCAGCCAGGACAAGAACTGGCACCTATATGGGATGCTGGCACTGCAGACGGCAGCTTTACCCACTACGCCATAGCAATAGCCCCGCCCCATCCTATATCAAGGGTTTGTTCAAGTCTCAGCACCTCCACTTCTGATCCAGCTTCCAGCTAACACCTCCTGGGATACAGCAGATGAGGGCCCAAGGGCTTGGGCTCCTGTCACCCAAGTGGGAGACCCCGATGGAGTTCCAGGTACCTGGCTGGGATTTAGCCTGGCCAGACCCTAGATGTTGCAGCCATTTGAGGAAGGAACCAGAGGATGGAAGATCTCTTCCCCTTGATGCCTCTCCAGTAGATTAGAGTAGACTTCTCCAGTAAATTAAAATAAACATATATACACTTTTCAAAGTACATGGGCAAAGGACTGGCATTTCTCCAAAGAAGACATATAAATAAAAGCAAGCACGTGAAACGTGCTCAGTATCATTAGGCATTAGAAAAATACAAAAATACTGGCCCCACCCTAAGGGGCCAGTACTGTGGCACAGTAGCACAGTCACATCAGAGTGCCCATTTGGGTCTCAGCTGCTCTGCTTCCAATCCAGCTTCCTGTTAATGCACCTGGGAAGCCAGAAGATGGGCTACACGCTTGGGCCCCTGCACCCACATGGGAGACCTGCACAGAGATCCTGGCTCCTGGTTTCAGTCTGGCCCAAACCTCGTTATTGAGGCCATCTGGGGAATGAACCAGCAGATGGATGCTATATATATCTCCAAGTAAATCTTTTAAAAATACAGTGAAATGCCCCTTCACACCTCCCAGGATGGTTGTAATTAATAAACAGGAAATAAGTATTGGGAAGAATGTAAACAAAAGGAAAGCTCATACACAGCTGGTCAGAGTGCAAAATGGTAGAAGACCGTGTGGCAGTTCCTCACCAAGTCACACAGAACTCTCACGTTACCCTGCAGTCCCACTCCCAGGCACATCCCCCAGAGCTGCAAACAAGTGCACACACACAGGTCGACAGAGGAGCGGAGACGGCACACACCGCACAACTGTTAACAGAACTGTCAGGAGCAGGTAAATCACGGGACCAGAAAGTTGGCAGCTAACAGGTGTGGGGAGGGGCTAAGGAACACCACTCCTGGGCGTGGGCTGCACAACACAGTGAATGTAAGAAGTGTCACTGAATTATTTACTGGAATGATTAACTTCTCGTTCTACACGTCTCACCTCGACTAGAAAACTAAACAGGCTGTCGGCTCGCCTAGCCGCAGGGCACCGTCCCCGAAGCCCCGCTGTGGACTCCTGTGAGCAGTGGGGCCCAAGGACCTGCCCTGGAATGCAGAGCCCCAGGCCCCACCCAGACCCAGTGCAGAGTCGGAATCTGCACTGACCAGGCCTCTGGGTGGCATTTCCAGGACATCTGTCAAACCCACTACAGGGCAGTGAGTCTAGGAGAACATGGGTGTGCGCCCAAGAGAGAACGTGGACCCGCCAGGCTGCCCAAGGCCACAGAGGCAAATCCCAGCCCTGTCCCCAAAGAGAAGCACAAATCCCAACCAACAGACCCCGCCAGGCAGGCAGGTTCCCTGAAGCGGGAGGGAGCCCCTGTCTGGCTCCACTGGCAGTGCAGGTCCCATCCAGGGGCCTGAGGCCCGGGCTAGGACTCAGCCAGATCTGGGAATGACCGTGTGCAGCAGGAGTGAGGGGACACAGACCTGACTCGCCCAGACCCAGACAACTCTGCCTCTGACTCCTGGGGCCTCGGCAGCCTCATTCACTGGGGGGGTCACGGAGATGAGGGGTTCACAGCCGATCCCAGGAGTGTACCGCCCTCATCTGGCTGTGCCGCCAGAGCACCTGGGGCCAGCAGAGCTCACAGCCCCTGCCCAGGCACCAAGCAAGCACACCAGAGCTCGGATGGGCAGGAAGCCGGTGACAATCCAGGAGCCCTGGTACTTCTGCGCACATCACAGGTCTTCCTGCCTCTCAGCCTCATCGCCAGCCAGCTCGGCCTGTAATCAGCTGCACCCAGGCTACCTCGGTATCGAACGCCACAGGAGACGAAGCGAGACGGGGCCAGTCATGAAGGACTTCAGTGCACTTAGGGGAAACTGAGGCACTACAGCCCACAGACAGGAGAGATCACATCCACATCCAGGGTCCGGCCAGGCCAGCGGCCAGCTCCAGACGCTTACAGCATCTCCCAGGCGACCTCTGTTCCCTAATGCAAACCCCAAACTTCCCCGCCGCACTCTCACCCTAGCTCTGACCCGGCCCTGTGCCAATCCACCTGCTCAGCCAGTCCGCTGGCACGAGGGCGTCACGGGGGGGAGGGGCTCACAGCCAGGCCAAGGCAGCGGCTGTTCAGGGGAACTCTCCAGTCCCTAAACACAAACCTGACCTTAACCTCAACTCCAGTCCCAAATTCAACTTCAGTCCTCACCACAATCTCGTGTCGAAACCAGCGAGATTCTAACCCCAAAGCCAGCCCCAGCCCACTGCTGCCTGCAGTCACTTCAAATTTTAGAATCTCCAAAGCCTAATGTGGGGACAATGCCAAGTAACCCTCATGCCCGACGGGGAGCCACATTCCAGCAGTCTGCACCAAGGTGACAGGAGAGGCTGAGAGCACTCCTGGGGGCCAGCTGGTTGGGAAGGGGCAGTGTCTCCTGCAGCCCGAGCCCCACTCACAGGATGGCCCGGCCTGGCAACACGGGCACCACACCCCTCAGAGGCCCAGGAGGGGCTGAGGCACCTCCCTCCCACCTGCCCAGTCACATGGGCCAGGCCACTGGGAGCTCAAGGCCCCTTGTCCTCAGGGCACTGCCACCGTATCCCCAGCCTCATTCTGGTCCCAGTCACTGTTCTTTGCAAGCAGGTTGGAGAGCGAGGGGCGCTACACCCTCTCTGCATCCCCACCCGGAGCAGAACCCACTGCCCCCACACGCCATGCTGGTCGCTCCTAGGACTGAGTGGGAAACACAGGTCCTGACCCCAACTTCAACCCCACTCAGCCTCAGCTGGCCCCTAAGCCCAGTGCTGCCCAAAACCTTCATCCACTCCACACAGGTCTTCCCTGCATACAGCCTCTACCCCTGCAGGGGCCACTAACTGACCCCAGTGACACACGGGGTTGCTGAAGGAAGAGATCAGCCACATGGGCACATGGCTGCCGGGCCCTGGGACCCACGCAAACCCACACTCAGAGGGGTCCCCGTGGGCAACACTCACCGACGTCAGAGTCCTTGTGCGTCTTGATGACCTCCGCAAGCTCAAAGTTCCCCGCGATGATGGCCACCTGAGGGGTCAGCAGGCAGGGGGTGCTGAGCCACACCAGGGCACCCCTTTCCTCAGCACGTTCTCCTGTCTACGACTGGGACGAGCCCCAGCCTTCTGGATCCGGGGGCTTCCCAGACATCAGACTACTGATAGACACTGGTCACCTCTCCTGCCCTACCCCTGCCCCCAGCCCTGAGTCTGGCTGTGCAACAGGCCCTGGGTGGCTCCTTCTCGACCTGCCCCAGACCCTTGGGTCCCTCACCTCCCCAGCCGCACAGCCACAGCAGCCACAGGCCTTTGGAGGCCTCTGCTCCCACCGACACAGAGTCCCTGCTGCTCCCTTGCTGCGCCAGTGTTCCCGACTCCCCCACAAGTCCCAGGCCACCTGGGCATCCAGTACCAACACCACCTGGACTAGGCCTCTGGGGTCAGGCCCACACCTGTTCTCCAGTCTTCTCACCTCCCCACCCCCATCCCGGCCCCTCTAACAGGGCTCTCTCCCTGGAAGGGTGAAGAACCTCCCCACGTGCTAGGCACTGCACCGGCAAGCACCCCGACCTCCTCCCCCGGCAAGCCTGGGCACGGGAAGAACCAAGGTCCAGAAAAGCCGAGCCACACAGTGCTGCGCCCGCCACGCCCCGGGCACCTGGAAGGCCGTCTGGCTGTTGTAATTGCGGACGTCCTTGTCAGCGCCCCGGAAAAGGAGGACACGGGCACAGCTCTCCTGTTGGGGACAGTGGAGGTCACAGCTGGGGGCTGCAGAGATGCTCATGGACACACACGTGGGTGTGCGTGGCACAGGACTCACACGTGCACACTCACACCTGTGTACTCAGAATACGCGAGTGGCAGGTAGGTGCATACAGGCAGCTCCTACCTGGCTGTTTTGCACACAGGTGTGCATGGGGTGTATGTGCACACCCAGGCCCACGAGGCCATGCTATAACCACAACCCACGGCATGCACAGAGGAGTAGCGTCCAGGCTGGGACGTGCACCGGTACACAGGCACACACACACCTCAGGCCGGCATGCCCACATCCTAGACGCACACAGTGGGCACAGACACGGCAGGTGCAACCCGCAAGGCCATACCTGGTTGTAGAGGGCACAGATGTGCAAGGCTGTGTTCCCTGAGGCATTCTGGGCTCCCATGTCGGCGCCGTAGAACAGCAGGTGCTCCAGATGCTGCACGTGCCCAAAGCGGCAGGCCTGGGGAAAGGGTGGTGCTGCAGGTCCCCGCCCCAGCCCACCACAGATGAAGCTAGGACCCCCTCCACTGTCACACAGAGAGCAGGACGCCTGCCCCTGACAGAGCCTGGGACTCGCACACCCTGCCTACCTGGTGGATCTCCTGCCAGCCATTCTCATCAGTGGTCCCCAGCTGAGCATGGTCATGGAGAAGCAGCTCACAGCAGAGAGCATCCCCGCCCCCCAGGGCACTGTGGTACAGGGGAGTCAGGCCACGGCTGTCCTTGTAGTCAGGCGAAGCCCCCAGGTCCAGCAGGGTCTGCGGGCAACACGCCTCAGCATCTGTGTCAGGCCCACTTCCTCCCCCAAGGCCACATGCACCCCAGAGCAGGGCCCTGCCCCACTGACCGTCAACGCCCCTGCATTCCGCTGGCGCGTGGCACAGTGCACGGCGGTCAGCCCGTCGCGGGTGCGGAAGTCGAGGTGGGCACCGCCATTTCGCAGCACCTTCAGCAAGTCCGTGGAGTTGTCCAGCTGGGCTGCCAGGCTCAGGGGGCACTCTGGGTCCAGAAGGCAGGTCGAGATCAGGGTCCCAGTCACTAGAAGGCTACCACCCTCCCAGCCCAGCTCCTCACCTCCTGAGTCAGGGTCATGGAAATTGGGGTCCAGCCCCTTGTCCAGCAGGCGGGCCACCTTGTCTGTGCTGTGCAGCTGGACATAGTCCATGAACTTCTTCAGATTCGCCTACAACACCAGGGTCCCAGTCAGCCGCACTGTGGCCACTGTCACCTGGTCATCACCCACCTTCCTCCAGCAAGCCTAGGGTAAGGCGTACACTGCACCACCCCATCAGTCTGACCCGTCGGCCAGCCTGTGCCACCCTCAGCCCAGGCACCACTGGAAGCCAATTCCCCACACCTCTCAGCCTGACTCCAGCCAGCCCCTCACCAAAGGCACAGAGCTCCAGCTGTGTGCCCAGGAGACTTCCCCCAACTCAGTCAGGCTCTGTGCCCCCTGCCCTAGCGCGTCAACCTGCCTCGCCTAGAAAGCCCCGACCTGTTCACTCCCACAGCACCTGCTCTTTCTTGGGTCCATCGTCCTTGCCAGCTCTCCCCAGAGCAGATGGACACCCTCAGGAGCCCCTCCCCACCTGAGACACCTGCTCCCCGAAACACGCCTCAGACTGTGGGTAAGTCCACCCAGCAAGGGCTCACTTGACCCAGCTGCTGCACAAGGCAAGGTGTCCCTGCCAAAGGCCCCAGGCCTTCTGGAAACACTTGGAGAAGAGGCCGCAGGGACCACTGCCGTGGGAGGCGATAGCCCACCACCACCAAGGCGGTCAGGGCTGTGCTAAGGAGCTCTGAAGAGCAAGCACCACCACGCCCAGCTGGTTCCTGAGGAGACATCCGGTAGGGGGTTCTCAGGATGACCAGGGCCAGCTTCTGCAACGGCTTCTCCCCAGCCACAGAGCCACGGCCCTGACGGCACCTGCCCAGGGGAGCCTGAGGCTCCAGGGTCAGATGGGGTCATAGGGCACAGGGGTCCTCTCTCCAAGGCTCTAGACCCCGTCAAAGAAGTATCCATCAGGCAAATGGCCACTGGCCCTCACGGCCTACAGTGGGGTCTCAGAGACCCTGTGTGCCCACGAGGAGGGGCTGCAGCGTGCATCCTGACCCCCCAACACTCAGAGGAGACGCTAGGGGCTCCCAAAGAACACCAAGCAGAAAAGGCCCCTCGCAGGTGCGCCTGGGGTCAAACAGGCGGTCATGAGAGGGTGACTTCACTCCTCAGGTACAGTTTCCTTACCTGTGAAGTGGGGAACTAGTCCCTTTCTCCCCGAGAGAGAGAAGTAATGAGAACCTAATCGGGAGCGCCCGGCCAGGGTGCCCGCCTGCTGGGCTCCCTCTCCCTAACTGCCGCATAGCCAGTGTCCATCCGCCTTCCTCCTGCCACTCACCCAGGGGCTCACCACAGCTGTCAGCCACCGTCTCATGAGACACCCCCCACTACCCCACCACAGGCCCGACAGGAGACAGGCTGAGCCAGTGCTTAAGGGCCACGGTCAGCCCCACGCGGGGCTGGAGGCAGTGGCCACTCTGCAGCCACCCCCACGACGTCTCTTTACCTTCGTGTGAAGCTTTGCAAACTGCTTATCGTCAATGAGGTTCTGGGCATAAACTCGCCGCTTGTAACGAAACTGCTCGGGGAGAGACAAGGTGGAGGGAAGGCCATCAGCCAACAGAGACACCACTCACCCAGCCTCGCTGCAGACCACGTGGTCCCAGACACGCTGACCACACGGTAGACAGGGCAGTCACAGAGGCTGCCCCCACCACGCTCAGCTGCAGTGCGCAGGTCATGGGAGCCGCCAGAGGGGCCAAACGTGCCCACAGGTACGGTCACCCAGGCCACACACACCTCAGCCACTCACTGCTGCCCACCTCCCAGAACCATGGTGCACGCGGCCACCACACTGCCCCCTGCTCAGTGCATGTGCCAGCGCCACCCACTGCACGCTGCTCACTGCACCACGGCTCTCTGCACGCTGTCCACTGCACGCATCGCCCAGGCACACCGCACAGGGCGCTCCCGCCCCCCGCCACAACCCTAACCCCCCCCCGGTGCACCTCCTGGCCCTTCCCGCTCCCATCATAGAGCTCGGCGGTCGCACCCCGCGCGCTGCCCCGGCCCCGAGTCCGCGGCTCACCTCCAGGTAGGGCAGGGGCGTGTCCAGGTTGGGCGGGTAATCCCGCAGGAGCCGCTCTTCGTCCAGGAACTTGCCCGCGCGGCCGCGGGAGGGCGGCTGGAAGAGCCCGTAGTTGAGCGCGTCCTGGAGGCTGTGGTTGAGCGCGCACAGCACGCGCTGCTTGGCAGCCCACACGGGCGCGGCCGGGTCCAGGCGCAGGCACTTCTGCGGCGCAACGGACTCGTGAGCGCTGCCCGACCCCGCCCGGCCCCGCGCCCCAGGGCCCCCGCGGGAGCGCCGGGCTCCGGAGCCCGCGCCTCCGCGCTCCGCGCTCCGCGGCCCCGCCCCGGGGGCTGGGCTTCCCTGGGCCCCGCCCCGGCGCTGGGGAGGGTCCCGGCGGAGGCGGCGGGGGAGGGGTGAGTAGCCGCGGGCCGGGGGTCTGGCGCGCCTAGCGGGGGGCCGGGGGCGTCCAGCTGGGTGCTGGGGCGCTGCGGGCTGCGCGGGTGCTCACCGTCTGCTGCAGGTCCGGGATGCCGATGCGCACGACCACGGCGCTGGCCCCGGGGCCGTCCATGCCCGCGCCGGGGCCGGGGCCCGGGCCGGGGCCAGCGCCGGCAGCGGCCGGGAGCGGAGCGCACGGAGACTCCGCGCGGCGCCCCGGCCCCCCCTGGCCCCCCGCCGGAGCCCCGCCGACCGCACTGCGCGGGAGGGGGCCGGGGGGGGCCGGGGCCGGGGCCGGCGCGGGGGACAGCGGCTCCGGGGGCTCCGCGGGAGCGGCGGCGGCGGCGGCGGCGGCGGCGCGGCTCAGCTGCATCGGCCCCGGCTCAGCTCGGCGCCTGCCTTCCCCGGGGGCGGGGGCGGCGGGGGGAGGGGGCCTGAGCCGGGAGGGAAGCGGGGGCGGGGAGGGGGCTGCACCGGAGGCGGGGGCCGGGAGGACTCGGGGCCGGTCGGGCGGGGGGGGGCACTGCGGGGTCCCAGGGGGGACGTGGGCGGAGGGCGAGGCCCGGGCCCCGGGGCGGGGGCCGCGGGGGGCTATTCGGGGGGTGGGGGGAGTGGCTGAGCGACGAGGGCCACGCCGCCTTCCGCTGCGGGCGGGCACCCGCCGGCCGGGAACCGCGCCGCGGAGGAGAGGTCCGGGCGCGGGGGTCCCGGCGCCGGGGCGGGGGCCGCGTGGGGCAGGAGGCGCAGAGGCAGGGCTGAAAGGGGGACAGAAACGGGAGGGCTGGCTTCCGGGGGTGACTGTCGCTCCCCCACTTTGCTAACCCCTACTCCAGACCCGGAGGCGCTGGCGAGGACCCAGCCCTTCCCGGGGGTCGGACGGTGGGGACCCCGGCCTGGGGCTTTCCCGGCGCCCTCGGAGTTAACCCTTCGGGCCGCACCCGGCGCAGTTCCGCGCGGCTGCCCCCGACCCAGCAGCCGAGTTTGGGGAGTTGGCCGCGGACTCCCAGGCCCCCTTTCCTAGCCCTCCGCGGACCCTCGGGTCGGCCCGGAGCCAGCGCCTGTCGCCCCCTCCCCGTCGCCTTAGCGACGACAGGATGGGGGCGCGACCTGCGGGAAGGGCTTAGGGGAGGGGGCGCCCAGTCTCCACCTGCCGCGGGGAGTGAATTTTAGTTTTGCGCGTTGTCGTGGCAACGGGGAGGGGTGGTGAGTGGGCGGCGCGCGGAGCCCGGCGCAGAGCCCGCTCGGGCGCCGCCGCCCCCTTGGAGCGTGCGGGGCTCCCGCCCAGAGACCTCGCAGGACCGCGGGTGCCCCGCGCCTCGAGAGCCGAGGGCGGCCCCTAAAGGTCTGGAGAGTCCGGAGGTCTCGCCGGGCGGCTCCCGACTCCTGCCCAGCTCCGGCGCGCCACACGCTCGACCTCCAACGCAGCCCGGCGGAGGGGACACCCCTGCCCAGGGCGTTGGTGCCAGATCCTCCAAGACACTGGGCTGTTCCTGAGCCTCCTGGGAATAACCTTGGGGTGCCCAGCCCCCCACGCACCTTAACCCTCGCTGACCGTCCCCATGGCAGCCGGGTCGTTCCGGAAATGCCCTGGCCCCCCACACAACTGTGCTGGGCCCGCTCGCCCACCTCCAGAGCGCTCCCTGGCCCCCACAAGGCTTTCTGTCCTCTCCTCCGCCCCAGAACGGCCTCTGGGCAAACCCCGGCCGAGGCCGCTTCTCGGGAACACTCACCCCCTCCTGCCAGACCCTGAGGAGCAGTCTCTGCCTCCCTGGACACGCTGACCGCACCACGGAGCCTCCCGCGCTGTCTGCGGGGCTCCTCTTCTCCCTGAGCCGGGTGGACCCTCCCTGCGGGGGGGAGTGGGGCCCCAGGATGCCCAGGCTTCCCGCCCTTGTCCAGGCTCCTCCCAAGGCCGCTGGCCTGCCCGGAGCGGGGCCGCCAAGGGCCCCCTGGGGATTGGGGCAGGATGGGAGTGGGGGAGAGGGAGCAGGAAGGGGCCGGGAGGCTCCCTTATCTGCAGGAAGCACCTGGGGAAGCAGAGGACTGGGTTTCCTGCGGCCCAGCCCCGGAGAGCGGAAGCGTGAGCTTCCCGGCCCTTGGTGTCTCCACCATCTTCCTGCCCTTGTCTCTGCAGTCCACAAGCGCTCTGCCAGCTCCCTCCCTGCCTTCCCAGGCCTGCACCTGCCTCTCAGTCCACTGTGGCCGCTTCACAGTGGTGGACAGTGCTCAGCAGGGCGCACCAGCAGTGGACAGGATGGGGGAGGCTGCCCCCTTCCCACACCCAGAACTTCAGACCATCGCAGGGTCTCCTGCCTTGACCTGGGTGGGCCCAGAGCCCCCTGGCCATGCAGTCCCTCCTGGCCCAATGGGAGCCCTTCCAGCCTCCCCTGCCACCCCACTCTAGCCTTGAGACCTGGCTGACCAAGAGAAAATCTGACATCTTTGAGTCAGGAATTTGACGCAGCTGCTCAGTGCCACTTGGGATGCCCACATCCCCTACCAGAGAACCTGGGTTCCAGCCCCGACTGCCCCGATTCCAGCAGGCAGCAGGTGATGGCTAAAGCACTTGGGTCCCTGCCACCCGTGTGGGAGACCTGGTTTGCATTCAGTTGTGGGCGTGCGGGGAGTGAACTAGCAAATGGCAGTTCTGTCTGTCTGGCTGCCTCTCTGCCTCTTAAATAAAATAAGTAAAAAGATTTTAAGAGGAAAATCTCACATCTTTGCTAACTGGCACGCAGCAGATGGGTGGTCCCTGCTGGCTGGCTGGGTTCTGTGCACCTGTGACCTGCTGACCCCTCAGCCCCACCAGCACTGCCTGGCAAGCAGCAGAAGTAGCAATACCTACAAGCGCTCGCAAACATGGCGTGCTCCCTGCACGGCCCCTGCCGGGGGAACTCACCCACCCCACCCCACCCCCGCAAAGCCACCTCAGCGGCCCGTCCACGCTCCTGGGTGGCCCCTCTGCTTCCTCCTGCTTGCATCAGGGCCAAAATTCTAGAAAATCTCTCATCATCTCCACTTCTTCCCACCTCCTATCACACGTTCAGACAAACAGGCCACATGGGCCTGGGGGAGCTCTTGGGCAGACCCCCCGAAGAGTGCCTGGCGGAGGCGTGGGAGCTCGGCCACCCGACAGCTCAGAGCCCACTGAGCCCGAGGCGTCCCCGCAGCGTCAGCATGCGGCCTTGGTGCCACAGGCCCCTCCTGGCTCCTGCAGCCCAGCCCTGCCTGCTGGCCCACCAGCTGGCCCCCGTCTGGGCCAGGTCCTTGGCCTCATTTCAGCTGTTCCTGCCATGCCACTGCCATCACTGTGTCCAGCCACTTCCTGCAGCCTCTACATCTCCACTGCTACTGTAGACCCACCTGCTTCTCTCTTTAATTGTGTCAGTCTTCTCTTGTTTGGTATGCTTGTTAATATGCATGTATGTAAATATGCACGTATGTGTTAATAGCTGTTAATCTTCTAGAACCCCAACTGCATACTCCCTTCACGCTCCTCACCCCACAGCCCCTGCAAATGTCCCCCACAGGCCACCACTGTCGGGGACCACGCAGCATGTGACCTCTTAGTTGAGAGACAGGGCTGGACAGGCCAGACCTGATAGTACTGATAACGCAATCTTGTGTGACCTTGTGCCTTAAGGCCTTGTAACCTTTCCCCTACTTGCATTAGCATTGCAGCTACAAGATAAGCCCCTCCTCCTTCCCCCTCCCGATACCCTGCCTCCATGATATATAAGTGTGTGGTTGAAAAATAAAGTCGCAGCTTGATCGGCACCTGTCTTGCTGCCATCCTTGTGTCTCCTGTCCCTTTCATTTCTCCTTCTAGGTGCTCGGCCCCAGTTGCTGTCCCGCGGGACGGGACAACTGGCGCCCAACGTGGGGCTCGAGTGCGGCCCTTGGGGTTCGAGTGCCTGTGAGATTGGAGGAACGCCGCCTTCCAGGAGGAAAACTTGGATCCAAGTGATTGTGCGACCGGCTCGGAACTGCCCACCCGAGATCATCAGCATCGGTCGACGCTGTGGAGTGAAGACGGCGCAAGGTAAGTGACAGCCATGGGACAGGCATTATTGTCACGGGAAATGTTCATTTCAGGTCTCAGGGAGGCCCTCAAGACACGAGGAGTTCGGGTTAAAAATAAGGATCTAAAGGCATTTTTTGAGTACCAGGGTCACTCTCAGAAGGTAATGCCCAGGCAGATGCTGCTACAAGGCTTACCTTCCCCACAACTGTGGGATCAGTGCAGGAAGCTCAGAACTCAGAAGGTAATGCCCAGACAGATGCTGCTACAAGGCTTACCTTCCCCACAACTGTGGGATCAGTGCAGGAAGCTCAGAACTCAGAAGGTAATGCCCAGACAGATGCTGCTACAAGGCTTACCTTCCCCACAACTGTGGGATCAGTGCAGAAAGCTCAGAACTCAGAAGGTAATGCCCAGACAGATGCTGCTACAAGGCTTACCTTCCCCATAATTGTGGGATCAGTACAGGAAGCTCAAAACTTGCATAGGTTGCATCACTTAAATGCTCAATCTCTCCGTTTGTTTTGTAAAATTTCACGAGAACAGGCTCGTGAAATAGTCAAAAAATGCCCCTCATGTGTTACAAGCCAACCTGTACCGCATTTGGGAGTCAATCCGCGTGGTCTTCTCCCTAATCAACTGTGGCAAATGGATGTCACACACTTCCCAAAATTTGGCAAACTAAAGTATCTCCATGTCTCTATAGACACCTATAGTGGCTTTGTCTTTGCCTCCCCCCACACAGGAGAAGCTGCTAAGGATGTTATCTCGCACCTTATCACAGCTCTTTCTGTACTGGGAAAACCTGTTAAGATTAAGACAGACAATGGTCCTGCTTATGTCAGCACTAAGTTTAAACAATTTTGTGAGGCGCTCCATATTAACCACATTACAGGAATTCCCTACAATCCACAGGGACAGGGAATCGTTGAAAGAGCCCATCAAACACTAAAAACTTGGCTCACTCGGCTTGAAGCCACTTCCTTGTCTTTTGCCTCTCCCCGCGACCGATTGAATCATGCGCTCTTTGTGCTAAACTTCCTGACCTTGGATAATAATAATCATTCAGCTGCGGACCGTCATTGGCACCCTTCCCCTGATACGGCTCCGCCTATGGTAATGTGGCGAGACCCCCTCACCAGTAGCTGGCACGGCCCAGATCCAGTACTTGTTTGGGGACGTGGCTCAGCCTGCATCCTGGACCAAAAACAATCGGCACCAAGATGGCTACCTGAAAGATTAATTAAACAAGTTAATCCACCAATTCCTACAAATAATGATGTTGTTCCAGAGCCTGTACTTGGCCCTGAGAACGCCTTTTCTTTATACCCACAGGAATGAAACGACCTGGCTGGACGCTACTGGGACTCATTACAGGACTCCTTATTATTGCTGGAATTGTTGCCATTGTTGCTATTTGAGTATCTTATCTTCTCTCTATTCTCTCCTCCCCTGCTACATTTCCTGAGGGCTCACTGATTAACCCCTCCAAAGGGCCCTAATACAATGGCCCTCAGCCTTGCTCTCCTGATGATGGCAATCTACACCATCCATTGGGCTCCACCAGTCTTTGCAGGGCTTGACAACCCTCAGGGCATTCAAAAATACCTTCAACAGCATCACCCTTGTACCTGCTCAGGGGCATAATAGTATCCTTCCCACGCTCAAAAGCCGCATTTTACACAAGACTGCGGAGATAAAACTGCTTATCTGACCGTCCCGGGTTCCCGATGGTTCTGTGTTCCCAAACCTAAGCTAGACTCTTACCGCACTGGGGATCAGTGCCCATCAGAGTGCAATAAAACTATCCATTACTCCGTGTACTCCTCCTGTTATACACAGTATCAAACCTGTAATAAGGGAAATCAGCGTTTACTGTTTGCTGTTATATCAGGAGATTATGAGGGAACGTTCGGAGGAGAGTTGTCCTCTTCACGCTTCAGCTCCCCCTCCTGCCCCACTAAGGGACAAGTAGCCTGCTGGTACCCTATAGCCCCTGTGGGAGTGTCTGACGGTGGAGGCCCTCAGGATACCCTTACTAAATTAAAAACACAAAAGGTACTCGAAACTGTATTTGAAAGCCTTTACCCTTCCCTCCAATACCACCCCCTGGCTAAAGTTCATTCCAGAGGAAATAAAGACTTGGATGTCAATACCATCGATATCCTTAACAACACCCATAAACTGCTTAATCTCTCTGCCCCAAACCTTGCAAGAGACTGCTGGCTCTGTTTACGCCAGGGACCCCCCCTTCCTCTTGCCATTTTTCTACCGATTAATAATACCCTTGAGTTCAATAGTTTCTTGGGCCACCCCCCTATGCAGCCCTTTCCCGTTCTTCCTGTCCCAACGGAAAATATCACTTGCCTTTATAAACCTCCCAACAACAATCCCTTCGATATCGATGTAGGCCTTGCTCCTTTCTGTACAAATAATGTAACAGTAAACTACCCTCTTTATGCCCCTAATTCCACCGTTTTTGTATGTAGGGATAATTTAGCTTATACCATTTTACCAACAAATTGGACCGGTAATTGCATGCATGCTATACTTTTTCCTGATATAGAGATTATCAATGGAGATACCCCTGTTCCTATCCCCTCCCTTGATTATATTGCAGGGAGACAAAAACGAGCTATTCAGTTTATTCCTTTATTAGCCACATTGGGAATTTCCTCAGCTATGGTTACAGGATCCACAGGACTAGGAATCGCGGTCCACAAATATAGAGAATTGTCCCAACAACTTATTAATGATGTGCAGACCCTATCCACCACCATTCAGGACCTTCAAGATCAAATTGATTCCCTAGCGGAAGTGGTTCTACAAAATCGTAGAGGCTTAGACTTGCTTACTGCTGAACGGGGAGGTATTTGCTTGGCTTTACAGGAAAAATGCTGTTTTTATGCTAACAAGTCCGGCATTGTTCGTGATAAAATCAAGACACTTCAAGAAGATCTGGAGCGTCGTCGACGTGCCATGGCTGAAAATCCCTTTTGGACTGGATGGAATGGACTGCTTCCCTATTTGCTACCGCTTTTAGGCCCCATTGTTGGGTTGCTTGTTGTGGTATCTATAGGTCCTTGTCTCCTCAATAGGCTGATGACCTTTATCAGACAACAAGTAGATAATTTAGCAGCCAGACCAATTCAAATACATTACCAAAGTCTGGCCATGGAAGATCCCATGGAAAACGTTATCTCTCTCTCTGGCCGGTGAAGTCTGGCCAGTGAGGTCACAGTCCCTCCAACAACTGACTCTCCCCTTCGGTCTGCTGCTGCCCCAGTCGGGAGCCCAGGAAGGGCCCCAGGCCTATCAATAAAATGAGCAGTAAGCCAATGACGGGCACCTTCCCGGAACCTCACCCACCTAAGACAGGAGTCCTTGGGGACTGGCAAGGATATCCAATGACGGGTAAGAGGTGATGGAGCCCCGGGTCGATTCCTAAGACAGGCACTGCTCACTCATCATGCTTGGCCTAACCGGTAGCCATTTCTGTTTAATTGATAAGAAAGGGGGATATGTCGGGGACCACGCAGCATGTGACCTCTTAGTTGAGAGACAGGGCTGGACAGGCCAGACCTGATAGTACTGATAACGCAATCTTGTGTGACCTTGTGCCTTAAGGCCTTGTAACCTTTCCCCTACTTGCATTAGCATTGCAGCTACAAGATAAGCCCCTCCTCCTTCCCCCTCCCGATACCCTGCCTCCATGATATATAAGTGTGTGGTTGAAAAATAAAGTCGCAGCTTGATCGGCACCTGTCTTGCTGCCATCCTTGTGTCTCCTGTCCCTTTCATTTCTCCTTCTAGGTGCTCGGCCCCAGTTGCTGTCCCGCGGGACGGGACACACCACCAGGACCTGCTTGCCACAGACCACACAGGTGTGGCTCCTGGCCCCCTTTAAACTCGCCTCTCCCTTGGTTTCCATGACAACTAAGAGGGTCCTTCCCTCCCAGTCCCCCCACCACGTGCTCTTCCTCTCCCAGCCTGCCTCGTTCCCTGGGTGGACCCACCTCAGCCCCGCTCATCCACCCCCTTACTGGATCTCGTCAGTCCCCCGAGGCCTCAAATGCCCCTCGGCTGAGTCACTTGCTGGTGGTTTACTGTCTGTCTGCCTGACGCGACACAGCCTTCTGCAGTTGCCGCGTGTCTGAGCCCCTGTGCACAGTGTGGCCTCACCGTGTTTTGCTGAACAGATAAAGCAAAGCTCAAACCTGCTTCTGCAAGTTCATGCCGGGCTTTCTGCCTTCAGACCACGGCCTGGCCCAAACACCAGGGCAGGTTACCGAAGGCAGGAGCCCTGAGAGCTCAGGGGGACTGGGGGCGGGTGTTTCACACGTCCCATGTCACAGTGCCTGAGTTGGAGTTTCAGCTCCATTACCAAATCCAGCTCCCAGCTAATGCACACCCTTTGTAGCAGCGCATGACCAGGTCAAGTACTTGGGCCCCTGCCACCCACATGGGAGACTCAGCTGGAGTTCCACCCCCTCCCTCCCGGCTATGGTAGACATTTAGGGAGTGAATCACCAAACAGGACAGACTCCAACTCCCCCATCTTTGTGTGTGTGTGTGTGTGTGTGTGTGTTTAGTATCATTTATTTGAGAAGTTGAGTTACAGACAGAAGGAGGGAGAGACAGAGAGAGAGGTCCTCCATCCGCTGGTTCTCTCCCCAGATGGCTGCAACAGCCAGAGCTGAGCTGATCTGAAGCCAGGAGCCAGGAGCTTCTTCCTGGTCTCCCATGAGGGTGCAGGGGCCCAAGGACTTGGGCCATCTGCTACTGCTTTCCCAGGCCATGGCAGAGAGCTGAATCGGAAGTGGAGCAGCCGGAACTAGAACTGGCACCCATATGGGATGCTGGCACTGCAGGCGGCGGCTCTACCCACTAAGCCATAGCGGCAGGCCCCTACCCCCATCTTTAGAGGGGCCAGAGCTGTGGTGCAGTAGGCTAAGCCTCTGCCTGTGGTGCCAGTTCAAGTCCCCGCTGCTCCACTTCTGATCCAACTCTCTGCTTATGGCCTGGGAAAAGCAGTGAAAGATGGCCCAAGTGCTTGGGCCCCTGCACCCACATGGGAGACCGTAAGAAGTTCCTGGTTTCAGATCAGCTCAGCTCTGGCCGTTGCGGCCATTTGGGGAGTGAACCAGCATATGGAAGATCTCTGCTCTCCCTCTCTCTGTAACTCTACCTGTCAAATAAATACATTTTTTTAAAAAAAGATTTATTTACTTATTTGAAAGTTAGAGTTACACAGAAAGAAGGAGAGGCAGAAACAGAGAGAAGTCTTGCATCCACTGGTTCAGTAAATAAAATCTTTAAAAAACAAATGTTGAGAATTGTTAAATGCAGGTATGTGTAATTTTGTAATATGCTTCTTCCATAAGATGTGGAAAATGTGTATTATTAGCAAATTAAGCCTGGATTGCAATATTTCGCACCAAAATAAATTCATATCTTTAATTCCATGTTTCCATGAATTTTTGAAGAAGCCTTGCATAAGATAAATATAAATTCATATCTGTTCACATATACAGTCTCCATTAAGCCAAGCTTCTTGTGTAATTCAAATACCATATACATTTTCTAATATTTTGTCTGTTTGATTTATGAGTGTTACAGTGGGGTGTGTTAGAGTCTCTGCTGTGGTAATGTGGTAATTACCAGTTTCTTCTTGAAATTTTGCCAGTTTTTATAGCATGTATTTTGAGGTTTTGTTATGAAATGCTAACAGTTTTGGAATCATGATGGCCTCCTGCTAAATTGCTCCTTTTATCATTATCTGGGGCCACTCTCTTTTGTAAGGTGTTGGAGTGCTTAGCAGGTACAGTGCTTTTACTTGGCATCAGTTATGAGTTGGTTTTGAAACAATTCCGTGTGACCCCAGCTGGGCTGAGGACTGACCCCTCCGTTCCTTTGGGGTGACTGTGCCGGCGGGGGCCACGTCCCATCCTGTTACAACCTGTGCTGCCGCGTGTGTCAGCGCTGCTCCGCCAGCTAACACGTTACCATATTTGTCGTGAAAATCAGGGGTCCGTTCTGGCGGCTCTCCTCGCCGTTGCTTGCTGGATGCTGCGCACTTGGAGACCACGTAGTGCGCCGCTGGCGGGGGGAGCCTGTGAGGCAGCACAGGGCCACTCTGCCCCTGGCCGTACTTTTTGCCTTAATTTCATCTTTCTCCAGCAGTTAATTGACTGCAGCACCTTTTTCACAAGGGCCGGCCTCATGATCGCCTCGATTTTCCTTTTATCCTTTCTGTCTTTCTGTTCTTGGCTGTGTGTCTGGGAAGTGGCGTGTAAGGCTGGATTGCTTTAAAAGGCTTTAGTCCTGTGTTTGTTTGTTTGTTTTTAAAGATTTATTCTTTATTTGTTTGAAAAGCAGAGTTACAGAGAGAGAGAGAAGGAGAGACAAAGAGATCTTTCATCTGCAGGTTCACTCCCCAAATGTTCTGAATGGCCCAGGCTGGGCCAGGCTGAAGCCAGGAACCAGGAGCTCCATCCGGGTCTCCCATGTGGGTGCAGGGGCCCCAGCCCTTGGGCCACCTTCTGCTGCCCTAGGCCACAGCAGAGAGCTGGATTGGAAGAGGAGCAGCTGGGACTACAACTGGCACCACAGGCAGAGGCTTAACCCACTACCCCACGGTGCCAGCCCCCTACTATCATTTTTTTTTTTTTTTGGACAGGCAGAATTAGACAGTGAGGGAGAGAGAGACAGAAAGGTCTTCCTTCCGTTGGTTCACCCCCCCAAATGGCCGCTACGGCCGGCGCGCTGTGGCCAGCACACTGCACCGATCCGAAGCCAGGAGCCAGATGCTCCCTCCCAGTCTCCCATGTGGGTACAGGGCCCAAGGACCTGGGCCATCCTCCACTGCCTGCACAGCAGAGAGCTGGACTGGAAGAGGAGCAACCGGGACAGGATCCAGCGCCCCAACCAGCACAAGAACCCCGGGTGCTGGCCCCGCAGGCGGAGGATTAGCCAAGTGAGCCGCGGCGCCGGCCCTTACTATCATTTTCTTAAACACACTTAGAGGGGCCAGCTTGGCACCAACATCTCAAATGGCTGCCAGTTTGAGTCCTGCTGCTCCTCTTCTGATCCAGCTCTCTGCTATGGCCTGAGAACGCAGTAGAAGATAGCCCAAGTGGTTGGGGCCCCTGCACCTGCGTGGGAGACCTGGAAGAAGCCCCTGCTCCTGGCTTTGGATCTGGCTCTACCTCTCTGTCTGTAACTCTACCTCTCAGATAAATAAATAAAATCTTTCAATAAAAAAACCTTAGATTTTCTTTTTTGATTGATTGATTGGTTTGAAAGGCAGATTTACAGAGAGGCAGAAGCAGAGAGAGAGAGAGACAGGTCTTCCAACTGCTGATTCACTTCTCAATTGGCTGCAGCTGCCGGAGTTAGGCCGATCCGAAGCCAGGGGCCAGGAGTTTCTTCCAGGTCTCCCACATAGGTGTAGGGGCCCAAGGACTTGGGCCATCTTCTACTGCTTTCCCAGGCCACAGCAAAGAGCTGGATTGGAAGTGGAGCCGGGACCTGAACAAGCACCCGTCTGGAATGGCGGCGCTGCAGGCGGCAGCTTTACCTAGTACACCACAGAGCCGGCCTAAACACTTAGATTTTCGACACACTTGACTGAAGTCTAAAGGAACAAGGGAGGGCGTGGTGATGGGCAGGAGCGTGGACCCTTCCCCTACAGGCCACCCAGGGTCCAGCCTTCAGAGCAAGCAGACGGTGACAGAAACTCCAAGTGGGTTTTAGTCTAATTTTAGCCCCTGACATCTGATATCACTTCTGCTTTTCTTGCAGTTATGTTTCTGCAGGAAATAAACCCCTCCCCCTTCTTGGTTGAAAGTCCACATAATAGAGGTTGAAGGGCTGGACTTGGAACAGGTGACTTGATTAGAAGAACAGCTCGGGCTCTGGACACCCAGGTGGCCTCAGGAAACTCCTTGGCCTGCCTGCATCTCGTGTCTGCTCAGTGAAGTCAGAACAATAGTGGGAACTGTTTCATTTCCTCATCGTTAGGGCCACACGCATGCCCTGTTTGGAGTGCTGGGACTGGGCCGGCTCACAACCTCCTGGGCCACCGTGTGGGCCCGAGGGACCGAGTGGAGAGCTGTGTGGTGTGCCGTGGATGTTAGCGTTCCATGGGACGCTCTTCACAGGGAGAGCAGCGTGGCCGTGTGGGGTCACCAGATCTTCGTCTGATTTTCTTAGAATTAGAGTTAAAATATTATTTTAACATTGAAATATGAAATTAAAAGTGAGAAACACACTTGTCTAGTTAATCTCATATTTCCGATTCCAGTTATCTTTTAATTTAAGATGATGTGTTTGCTGGCGCCGCGCCTCACTAGGCTAATCCTCCGCCTTGCGGCGCCGGCACACGGGTTCTAGTCCTGGTCGGGGCGCCGGAATCTGTCCCGGTTGCCCCTCTTCCAGGCCAGCTCTCTGCTGTGGCCCGGGAGTGCAGTGGAGGATGGCCCAAGTGCTTGGGCCCTGCACCCCATGGGAGACCAGGAGAAGCACCTGGCTCCTGCCTTTGGATCAGCGCGGTGCGCTGGCCACAGCAGCCATTAGAGGGTGAACCAACGGCAAAGGAAGATCTTTCTCTCCATCTCTCTCTCTCACTGTCCACTCTGCCTGTCCAAAAAAGAAAAAAAAATAGACGATATGTTTACCTCCCTTCCATTGCAAAGGCCTTGACAGTTTGAGAGCGCAAGGCGGGGCCCCTGGCTCTGTGGTGTAGTGAGTGAAGCTTCACCTTATTTATCTTTCATA